TGATCAGTTTGTTTAAAAATGTTCTACTTGTGTTTGAGGTTATTCAGAATAATAGTATCTTTTGTTCGTTGTCCAACACGGATGCCAAGTTTTTCTCCCATTCTTTGTCACTATTTATTAATTGTCGCTAATTTAGAAGCTTTCAGAGTAAAATTATAAAATTCCAACTTTTTGGAAAGCAAGATTACAAACTTTCTGCCATGTTCCTTTTAGCTCTAGCATGTTCTAGTGTGTTCTAGCGTGCTAACTCACACACTAAGCGTGTTACGGTTAGCACGCTAATCAAAACAAAAGGTTTAGCATGTTAACATCTTCGAAACAAATCACTGTGTGTCCTTCATTGTGCTACGAATTAAATATGCACACATAGCATGTCTTGGGACACACTAAGTGTGCTGTGTTAGCGTGTTGTGAGCATGCTATCACCTTTATCCCTGTTTTCTCGTGGAGGGTCACATATTTGAACTGCGGAGAAAGATATGAAGATATGAAGATATGATTGATCATCACAGTTATACACACAACTTAAGTAGTTGTGAAATTAAAGCCTGAAAAAAAATCAGACCTGAACAGGATTCGAACCCATGACCTATGCAATACCGGTGCAGTGCTCTACCAACTGAGCTATCAAGCCAACTGGGAGCTGGTCATATTGTGAGTTCGCAATATACCCGTAGATGGTGAGGAATACAAGTTAATATATGAAAGACCATATATTTGAACTGTGGAGAAAGATATGAATATATGATTGATCATCGGAGTTGTACACACAACTTAAGCAGTTGTGGAATTAAAGCATGCAAACAAAAAAAATCAGGCCTGAACGGGATTCAAACCCATGACCTCTGCGATACCGGTGCAGTGCTCTTAAACAACTGAGCTCTCAAGCCAACTGGGAACTGGTCACATTGTGAGTTCACAGGTCTGATTTTTTTTTTTAAGGCTTTAATTTCACAAGTGCTTAAGTTGTGTGTATAACTGCAAAGATCAATCATATCTTCATATCTTTCTCTGCAGTTCAAATATATGGTCTTTCATATATATTAACTTCACCATCTACAGGTATATTACAAACTCACAACGTGACCAGCTCCCAGTTGGCTTGATAGCTCAGTTGGTAGAGCACTGCATTGGTATTACAGAGGTCATGGGTTCGTATCCCGTCCAGGCCTGATTTTCTTTCAGGCTTTAATTTCACAACTGCTTAAGTTGTGTGTAAGTGTATAACTGTGATGATCAATCATATCTTCATATTCTACAGTAATCAGACAGTCTTGTTAAAGCAAAAACACCTGAAACTGACAGCACAAAGATATTGCATTTTGTGTTGAAACAAATAACATATCAATGGAGACAAAGAAATGTTTTATCTAGTCAGAGAAGTGATCGACCGTCACCAGATACATGTGGATGTGTCCTCCCTTGAGAAAATGTCCACTAATGGGTATCTGTTTGGAAATCTAAAAACTGTTTGCTTGCAATTTGAAATCTGTTTATCATCCACTTAAGATTGATAGGATGCTCTTCGAACAGTTGGAGTTAGATCCATTCAGAAAATTATTCCTGTGTTCAAAAAAAATCCACTGTTCAAATGGCTGAGGTTATCCATTCGAAAAAAGCAGCTGTTCAAGCAGTTGTTGAATTCCATTTCTTTCAGTGAATTGCTTGTTTAAGCGCAAATAAACTTAGTGTGTGGAATTCAACTACACATAGTTCTACAGGGGCAGCTACTCAGTATAACCAGAACACCTCAATTATGAATCATACAGATTTTGCATGCCAAGTAATACAATGGATACTACCACATTGGTGTGATAAGCACAAAATACTGGAACTGTGTTAGGCTACTGACCTCTGTATCTGCAGAATATTCCACATCTGTACAGATAAAAGAAAAAACATTCATTAAAAAAAGTGCAGTCAGGTGCAACATTGTTTATCAACCTTCTGCTGCCAGCAGAAAGTTAACAAATATTTATATTACATATGAAAATACTGAAACAAGCCACATGTCTTGCCACAAATAAAAAAAAATTACCATTCATCCTTCAAAAAATTTTATCTGCCAAAACATCATTGAAGAGGATATTGAAATTTGTGTCACTCACTGTTGGATTACTGTTAGCAATTCACACAAGATTTCTCCAGAGGGGTTTAGAATTAGCTTGTAACAACAAATTTAATAACCTAATGCTAGAATATCTATCAACTTTGTAAGCCCAACCATAGTCAACAGAAGAGAGTGGCAGACATCAAAGGACCAAACAAAGACCTGAAGATTTATGTTGGAAAATCCATGACCGTGAGCAATCTTTTGTTTTTTTGCTTATACAGTGTTGCAAACTAAGTAACTCTCAAAATCCACTCGCCTGGTGTAATGATTCACAAATCACACGTTTTTCATTATCTGGTCCATTAATGAGACGCCTTCTTAGGATCATGGATCGATATTTTTTTACATTAATGCTTTTTGTAGTTTTAACTAAACAAACAGCTGGCACTACCGAATTCACATATATTCCTAGAATTGAGACATTTCGAAGTAGTCAATTTGTCCACATGAGGAAGACTGACGTTTTTTCCTTGCATGAAAAATTATACTAAAAGACTTAAACCCAAAGATAACTACAACACAGGCACTTCACTTTTGAAGCAGTTTCTATTGCAAGATAAATCTTCATGAGACTTGTTTCTTAGCAAGGAAACAACCTTGTCCCTCTGGTATGCCATCTGACCTAACTAATGCTGGCTCAACTTGAGAAAAAACAAAGGTAAAAAAGCACTGGTAGGTTCTTGTTCAGAGGGTATTCTTGTCAAAAGGGAAAATAAAAAGGAGTGCTATCAATGTTTATGGCAGGTGCATACTGTGTCCTTTGCATCACGGAAGGCATAGTTTAAGCACCATGTGCGCTGGGAGTGATATTGACGCAATCAACTGCACTACCAAGTACACAACTAAAATGAAAGTTAAATTTCCCTACTGTGACCAAATCAAGTTTAATAAACCAGGAACACCAGAATAGCAGCATATCACTAACCACTAACTGTTAACATCTTCCAGCTGACAAACTAGCTGTTATCTGTCAAAAATTATACTGAAATCCTACTGTAAACTTGTACCCTTGGAAGGCGTAATGCACATGCAAAACAAGTGCAAGATATGCAAATGTTTTACTGGGGAGGTGACAGGAAAAAAGTAACAGGCACCATAAAAGTTTTCAAAAAAGATCAACAACTTTAAAAAATGTGTGTTTACCCCTACATTTTTTGTTATGAAATGGAAGTGGCAAGCCTATACAATAAGTGACTAGTTTCTGGTGGTGAGCAAAAGGTATTTAGACTGTAGATAAACTAGAGGAGGCACAGTGGCCTCATGGTTAGTGTGCTTGTCTCCAGATTGAGCAGTCTGGATTCAAGCCCTGGCTGGGGACACTGTGTTATGTTCTCGGGCAAGACACTTAACTCCCACGCACTTGCAAAATGGGCAAGTAAGCAATGATTTGTACTCACCCGACACTTTTCACACTTCCATATGGCCAGCAGGCAAGTGGTTATTTCCAAGACTGCTTATACACTATTATGATTATGTAACCAAAATGCTTACATTGCTCAGTCACAAAAATTGTGCTTTGTGCTCAGTCAAGGCCAAAAAAACGAACAAAATCAAACAACAAAGAACTTTGTCAGTTTTTACAACCATTGCCTCTATTAACTATGGTCCAATAGAGTAACACATTTGATGAGTGTGTATTAAAGTGCAGTGAAAGCAACCTCTGGACAAGTGAATCAAAGTACAATACAAATTATCTTACATCTACAATCATGGACAGAAGTCATTGGAAAAATTTTGTACTCTTGGCACATTAGCAAACACGCCAGATGCAAATACAACTTCACCTGCCTAAGCTTGCCCACCATCGCACATGTTGAAAACTAGTACCAGCAATTTCTCCTCATTTTCAACATTGTATTAGGTGGGGAGGGGAACAGGAACTTCAGGTTTAAAACACAGATAATTAGTTACATTACATAAGTGTCCCAAAGACTTTAGTCCACAACTGTAGCTTGCGACATATTGCCTATAGAATCTGCAAGTTGTCTAATGATATAGACCCTTTTCATTTATTGGTTATCAATTGCAAATTCCTTTTTACATGTACACTGTAAGTATTGACTACTCTGTTTGAGTTGGTGAATCAAAAGAATTTTTACTCTAAAACAAGTTCCGTGAGACTGATTTAAGTGTATACAAAACACTTTTAAATTGACCCCCTTTTATGAAAGGGTCTATATAAACATGGGCCCCAGAAGTGCTTGAGTAAATTATATCCAGGGTTAAGTCCTAATTAACAATAACATCCATATTCTTATCATTTTAAATTTTATCTGATGGATAAGTGTTGGCTACCCTTTCAATGGGGGTGGGCAAAACCTGGGCCCAGGCCCAAGGGCTACCCTATGGCCCCCCTCCCAAAAAGGAATAACTAGATTAATTATCAATAGCTAATTATTAATTACTAGCTATTAATTTTTGAAACAAAAATTAAAGGACATGACTTTGACTTGTAGGCCCGATAAATAGCCACTGTTCGAGAAAGGCACTCCTCCCCCTAAATCGAGTGAGTGGTGGAAAGCGACCTATTTAGAACTAATCAGGAGTTTTTGTGGGTTTGCATAAGCCCAATAAGCTATCAAAATCTTGTGGGTTTGAGGACATGATGTCATGTGACAGAGCTTTGGCAGCATGAGTAGTCTGAGAGGTAGACCGGGTACTAGTATTATGCGTAATTGTTTTTGAGTAAATGCGACTATTGCTTGATTTGTAGTGTATAGGTGTTGCTAGCTTTAGTGATATTACGTTGTCAGCAAATTAAAGACTATTTGCTGTGCAACAAAGGTGGTTGTATAATTCGATCCATTGACGGTCAGTGTAAAAAGCAGACTGCAGACTGCAGACCAGGGTTAAAATGCAGACTGATGGTAAAATAAAATAATAATAATGAAAAACGAGTCATAAGGATGAAATAAAGAGTGTTCGTACCCATAAACTGTCACGTGAGGACTCACAAAACACACAAACTAGGCACGATACCTAGAAGTTTAGCTTGCCCTGTTGTTGTGCTGTCGTGTTTTGCTTGCCTTGTGTTCTTAACAATCCCAAGGCCATTTGAAGCAACTAAGAGATGCAGTGGTTTGAATGTTATTAAGACTTTGTCAATGAAAACAGGATGAAGGGAATGCACTGCAAGAGTTGGTCGGTCCCAGACCTAATCGCGTAAACAAAATTCAAAATGGCCGACATGTAAACAAAGGTAAGATGCATAGAATAACGATTAGTTCGTGCCCTTGTGGGAAACATGGTTCAACAAAATGAGGAGCTCAAGAACTTGAGGTTGATAATATAATGTTTGACTAAGGCTAGGAAATGCCTTTTGTTTAAGTTTTCGGGATGTTGGAAAAAAAATTACAGGTACGTGTATGAACACTCCCAAGTCTTCATTTTATCCGGATTTTGATTGTCATGTTTTTTTTAATTATTACTATTCTATTTTACCCTCAGACTGTATTTTACCCCTGGTCTGCAGTCCGCAGTCTGCGTTTTACACTGACCGATTCATCGATAGCTTTGACAGTGGCTTTTAAGCAAAACTTGCCAAAAATCATGTGTGAGGGTTTCACTTGAGAAGTGTTTTTCTTCCTCAAAGAATTATTTCAAATTTCCGTATGGTCTCATTTTTTTAATATAATTACTTTACTTTTATTGCATGAACATTTTTATTTCCTTTAGAAGCAAAGTAACTGTTACTGATCATCATCACAGAGAAATGTAGTTACCAATGTGGCGAGTAAACTAGAAAAAAACTAATTAATAATTAATATAGCTATTCTTTTTTTGGAGGGTGGCCCATAGGGGCCCACAGGGTAGCCCATGGGCCTGGGCCCAGGTTTTGTCCACCTCCATAATAACCTATATGAGTTGCCTCACTCCAGCACCTAGGCAAGTACCAGTCTCCTTTTGTAAGTGTCTAACAATATGAGCATAAATTGTACTACCTTGCTCCATTGGCTTTGATCGTTCTGATCTTGGCGTGATTGGTGTGCTAAATATCTGGAGAGGTAATTGTTTCCTGGACTTTTTCTTGGAGAATTTTGTTTGCCTTTTCAAGTGTTCTGCCAATGGTGTTTCACCAATCCCTAAAACATATAGGATACCCAAGTAAGGACACTGTTACTCATGTACCTGTATCTATATCTTTTGTGGGGTATTCCATTGCGTTGTTATGGCAAGATAATTATGTCGTGTCCCTGTTATACATAAAGCGCAATGCTGATAACATGAACACCTTTAATTGTAATTATTTCTCTGTTATGACAAACTTTCAAGCATGCCCAAAGTTTTTACATTCTAGTGGCCCAATTCAGTCTCACAGGCACAATAACCTGGATATCTAGGTTATAGCTTTGTTGAATTTTCCCAAACAACCTCAGAAAGAGCAGATCTATCCTTTTCTCTTATTGTGTAAACTCCTGTTGGCAGCATGATTTCATCTAAAATGCTCTACATATGCTTAAATGAAAGTGAAACTGTGTCAAAGATGGTGACAGATAACAAAAGGGTTTGATTATATTACAAGTTCTTTTGGAATCTAGACTGTCATAAGCTGTGAATTTTCTGCAAAATGGGTGAAATTAATTGGAAATCATAAATCCTCTCTACCAAAACATAAAGAAAAATTTTTAATACTAAAAGGAAGCACACTAAATTTGAAGGCATAAAGATTTCAACCAGGTTTATCAGACTTGCAAAATATAGTCAGAAGAAGGCCTTAATGAATTGACCCTTATGACCTCATCAGTGAAGAAAACAATAGGATGAACCTGCACTTCACTGGCATTGATGTGAATTAGTAACTCCTGTAAGTGGCAGCTTTAGTGTTGTCTTCTCAGATGAAATTTTGGGTTTATATTGAGTTCTAGTTGAATTCTACTAGTATACAAATGCAGATGTGCAAACTCAGATTGCCTGAGCTACAGTACATTATCAGCCATTAAAGCATTCTCCTTCCCAGAGCCATCTGTCCATCTTTGCTGAGGTAACCAACACACAATGAAAAGGTGACACTTTAGAACCACAGTTTAGTCACATCAGTAACAAACTTCCTAACATGTGTTGTGCAATTGTAGCCCTGCTCACGGGACGATTTGTTGTTTGTCTGCACAAGTGAGAATTAAGGAAGTGCGAGACTGGCTATTATATTTGCCCAGTTTGACCTACTTGAACATTGGCCATTTTCACTGATAAACAGGTTCGAGAATCAAAGTTGCTACAGCTTTGCGTTTGGGGTAATACTTGTGAGGTAGTCACTTTTTGGGTCAGAAACAGCCAATTTAACTGTAGGATCATTGAATCTATTTTTGATATGAGTTTGGTTAATTTATATAAGTATGTCCGACAATGTTGTTCATGCTGGTTCATGTCAGAAAAATTCACTGCTTCTTGAGTTTTTGTTTAGAATGCTACCAAACAACCTTAAAGTTACCTTACCTTCTGAAATTGCAACGACTTTTTGCGAAAAATTTGCGAGTACAAAGGACAAATTTTGTCAGATTTCTTTTGCACAATACTGTATCCCTAGAATCGAGACACTGGAGTAGACAACTTGTTGGCACGTGGAAGACAGACATCATTATATTTTTTTCAAAACAATTGATACTTGAAGACCTTAAACTCAAAGATAACTACAATGGCGGCATTTTAATTTTCAAAACAGTTTTTAAGAAGACAGGATTGATCAACGCTGTTGTGCACACAACTGAACCCATTGACTTCCATGCCGCCCGTAATCAGCCGTGACAAGCCTAGGCCTTTGTTCCACTCCTGGCGTCATCAGCTTTGACCAAAATTGGCATCATTTACACTCAACTTCTGCAGGAGGAAAAGATCTTTCCAATGATACCCAGATCAGAGTGATCGGCTCAATGGAGCCTGAAATGGAGCCTGAAATGGAGCCTGAAATATGCACTAAAATGCTCAGAAATGTGAGTGAAAAACTCAGAGCAACATTTTCTGTGACTACACATGGCTACTCCATGGAAAAAATTGCTAGTCTCCATGATGCTTTCTCTTTTTCTTTCTCCACTTTCCTCTGTTCCCAATGTGACCATTGGAGAAAATTTCAACTTTATTACCGTTAATAAAAAACCACACCCTTCCTATTCAACTTTAAAACACACGTATATTGTTTGTGCTTTTGGTATAGAAATGCACTGGGGACATGACTGGGATGGAAAAAAGGAGGCCTAGGAGGCACTAGTCTTAAATGGGTACGTGTTGAGAATTTACGTACATATTCACTCGTTATTTTCTTTTTTAAAACTATATAGACTATACGGTTGAACCTCCACTAATGGTCACCTCTCCACAGCAGACTCCTCTCTACAACAGACACATTTTTTGTCCCAGTGGACAGTCCATACATTCGCAGTAAATTTTCTGATTTAAGCAATTGGAAAGAAGAAGCCTGAAAAAAAAATCAGGGCTTCAACGGGATTGGAACCCGTGACCTCCACGATACCGGTGCGATGCTCTACCAA